CCGGACTGGGTTTCCTCGTGGGGTGATGGGGGTTTGGGGGGTGTCCCGGGGGCCCTGCAGCAGCAGCTGGAGAGGGGTGGGATGTTCTTTTTGGAGCTTGTGGCTCAGGGGGTTGTAGGGTGGTTGGGGACACTCGTGCCCTTCATCTCCCCCCCAGCTCGGGGGGGGGCAGGACCCTTCATCTCCTCTTGCTGTGGCGCTGGGGGGGAGGCCCAGGGACTGGGTGGGAGGCCCAGGGACTGGGTGGGAGACCCAAGGACTGGGTGGGAGAGCCAAGGACTGGGTAGGAGGCCCAGGGACTGGGTGGGAGACCCAAGGACTGGGTGGGAGAGCCAAGGACTGGGTGGGAGACCCAAGGACTGGGTGGGAGACCCAAGGACTGGGTGGGAGACCCAAGGACTGGGTGGGAGACCCAAGGACTGGGTGGGAGACCCAAGGACTGGGTGGGAGACCCAAGGACTGGGTGGGAGACCCAAGGACTGGGTGGGAGACCCAAGGACTGGGTGGGAGACGCAGGGACTGGCACCCAGCACGGCCAAACTCTTGGAGATGTTTCTCCAAGGGCTGGTGGATCCTCATTTGGGTCTAAGCCTGGTTCCTCAAGGTGCTGGGTTTGGGAGACAAGCCCAGAGTGCCCCTCCTGGGACCTCTGGTTCATCAAGTCACTGGCTAACGAGGCCATCACGTTATCAGCCGAGCTGGACACCAAAGCATCCTCTGGATCCTGGCTGGCTGGAAATCAGCACCAGGCAGGGCTGCCAAAGCCTGGCTTTCCATCCCAGGGGCAGAGGGTTAATCCCAGCAGCTGCTCCCCCACCAGGGAGGCTCATCCCCATCGTCCTGCTCCAGCCAACCAGAAAACCTGGGGCCCTCGTGGATTAAACACCAACAGTCCCAGAGGTGCCCGGACTGTCCTTGGTGACTGAGGGTGGGTTTGTTGTTTGTTTGGTTTGGTTTTGTTTAAATCAGGCTAATCTGAGATTCGTGCTTTGCAGATTGCACATGCCCATTAGCACCATGTTGCAATTTGAACTTGTTTTTTCAAAGCAACCAAAATAAAAAGATTATCCAATTATAAGCTTTCTGGTACTTGGATGAAAGCCCAAAGTATGGGTAGGAGATGCTGAAGCTTGAGAAGGGCTTGATCTGGCTCTGGAGAGGTGGAAAATCCCTTGTCCTGGGCGGGGGGGAGGGGCGTGTGTGTTGACAGCTGGGTCCTTCCCAAAATTGGGTGAGGGGGATGGGTGCAGGGGCCAGCTCCTGAGCTGGGATGAGCAGGGTTAACCCATAGGGGTGACCTCCCCACCAGGGAAGAGACTTTTGGGCTGCTGCTGGGTTCTGGGTTTTGTTCATCCGTGGCTCAGTGTGTGCGTGGGCTGG